CCCCCCCCCCGCAACGATCCTAGATCTAGGACCCTGTTTCTGTCGATCGCCCTTGAATGTGCGACTGTTGTACAGAGAGAATGCCGACACAAGAGAGTTTCCAAGCAAGTGATCGGCATAACCCCACCCACCTTTGCTTTCGCTGCTACTACTACAGCGATTGTCAGATGCCGATTTTTTTTCGTATTGTGTTACGCATCCTGCACCCCCTTTCTGGCGCGTCTCGTGGCGCGACGGCGACGGCGGCGGTGACGGGGGTCTGTGGATGCGTAATGCGTATGCTGTGGAGGGGGTAGTAGGTTGTGTAAGAGGGTGTTTGTAGAATAGCGGGAGAATGAGAGTGAGAGAGGTTTTAGTTTGGTATAGCCAATACGTGATTTCTTTGTATGTATGGAGAGATATAGCTGTGATGTAAACGTATCGTTAGAATGCTACTACTAGCATGTAAAGAGCGAGAGAGGTCGTAGATATGATATGAATTCTAGCATAGTCTTCATATCTACTACGGCTCTAACCGTGTCATCTTACTTTTGGGTATATCTAGATACAGCCCCGTAAATTTATATACCATCCAAATCACTTTACTTTCATCCCACACCCTCCCACAACAACCAACATCTCCATCCTCTCATCCTCGCATACACGGCTACCTGCATAACCCCCCCGCCACTCGTAACACCGCACCCGCTTTTCTCACCGTGTGTCACCCCAGTTTCCGTGCTTCCAACACCACTTTCCACCTGATTGGCTGCGGGTCTGCAGACCGGGTTCCCTTCAAAACGCCCTTGGGAATCGATCGGCGCGGGTTGTTCGTACAGAAGTGGTGTACGTAAACGCTATTTTTTTGGAGGGGGAGAGGGAGGTGGGAGAACGCTTGTCTCAGCAAAGGGGTTGGGTAGGGAGACGATGGTGCTGGGAGAAGTGGTTTGGTGAGGGGGAGGGCGAGACATGAGCTCTGCCACCTGCCACTAGTCGCAGCCTGCGCGTATATCGAAGTGCGAGAATATTCGCCACTCGGTATCACGCATTTAGGTTCCTCCGTAACTCCATTCCTGGCGTGAGACTTCCATGATAGTCCTTCCTTCCTTCCTCCACATTCCCCCCCCCAAGGCCAAGTCCAAGGCATCCCCATATTCCGTCCGAGACACACACACACATATATATATATACACAAAAACAGGTACCTAGCCTTTTTTGCACTGCCCCCATTCGCCTACCTCAATCCCGTGGGAACCAAAAAAAATTCAAGGCCACATCGTCACCTCCGATAAAACTATGTAAGAGGGCACAAAAAGAAGGGTTCTTAGTCTACTCGGGGCGGCATAAACCTCCGAAACCCCCATTTCATCTGCCTCACTTTCATAATCTATGACATCAAGACCTTAAATTTTCATCTCTTTTTTTTCCAAACAGAATCGCAGGGACCAATGATTCAAAATGTGCAGTTGTTGAAATCTGGCGTGATTGCCTATGGGCGATTTGAAGGAATCGCGTTCTCGTAGAGGGACTTGCCTAAACTTTAAAAAGTCTCAGCCTTTCCGGGATTTCGAGACATGGGTTGCCTGAAACCGGTTCCCCGGTTGTTTATCGCGGTGAACCCTTTTCAGATAGCAGGGAACTTTATCGAGGTGTCATGTTGGTTGCCCTTTATGACGCTTAGCTGGAGGACACACACACACCAAGACCAACAAGGGCGTGGCTGCCTGCAGCGCTAGAGAGCCTCATACTAGGCGACAACAACACAAAGCACATGTCGAAGAAGTTTTGTCATGTCATGAAATTGAAACTAAAACTAAAACAACCGGTGCCTAACGAAAACAGAACGCAAGTGAGCAAACATTCCCAAACAGCCCATAATGACGCAGAACCTCGTCTTCCCCAGTAACATCAGCGTCAGATACCACAAACGCCATAAATCGAACACGCCGATCCATGCTAATGATGTAACCTCACTGTCCAAAACCATATATTAAAAAAATCAGAGTGGTGATATGCAAACCTGAGCCGACAAAACAAACAGTACATGCCATAGATATCCGAAGAAACATCAGTCAGAGAGATAGCAAACAAAGGGCCATAGATTTGCCAGAAAAAAAAACATAGCCATAACCTTGGAAACAGACAAATGAGATTGCCATGTAATGGGTGATGATGGGTGTGTAGAGCCCGGCGTTGACATCGTAAAGACATGAGGACTCGGTAGTAGCCTAGATTCGTAAGGAAGCTCCAAGGACGCCGGGGTGATGATGTGTCATGAGTGGATAGAGATATTACGCAACGAGATGGGAAGTGCTGTGATGCAAGCGGAAAGCTTTGTCCGTCCTTGTCCAGCAGAGACGGTACACATGGAGCCGTCACATGGAAATGTTCTTCCACCGTGCGGATAGAGCCTGACTGTGATGACTCCAGGGTATGCATACAGCAGGATGCAGGAACGGATGCGGGGTATCGCGGGGTATCATAATGAAGGAATCGGCGAAAAGACAGACAGGCCAACAGTAGGAAAAGACTTCTCAAAGGGCCTCGCTTCAGCCCATGTCCATACCGTACTCGTCTTCCTCCTTCAGGCTAGTCCAGTACTGCGGTTGGTTTGATCCGGAGCCGCTACCAGTGCTTTGCATGCCTGGGCTAAGGCTCTGTGGTGAGACGCCGTTGAGGGGTTCACCAGCCAGGTTGGTGTGCTTGGGTACTCGCAGGCCTGAGCCGGGGCCGCGCGAGTACCTGAAAGTACCGGCGCCATTCTTCTCAAGCGCATCAAGGATTTCCGTCTTCATGCGCTTCTCGTCCTCGGACTGTTCGACAGTCCACTCTTCACCAGTTGCTTGCTGGAGTCGTGCAGCCAGCTCATCGCATTCCTGAATCTTCTTGGACAGCATCCACATGAGATCACGTGTCCAGCTAACGGCACCATTGAGAATGTCACCCTTGTTAGGACCCTTGTCCTTTTCTTCGATTGGGAGACCTTGTGTAATGTTACCGGCTGCTCGCCTTCCACTTCCACCAGCTAGAAGTGATGTGGCTTGTGGTGGTGACATACCGCTAGTGGCCATGGTAGGTGAGAGTGGGCCATTGTTGTTGATGTGCTTGCGGATCTTCTCATCCTCAAGACGGTGCTGAGGTACAAGACGAGACAAGTCGTGGATGCGCTCGTTGATATTGTCCCTGCGGCGACGCTCCACCAAATTGTGGGACTCACGGCGTCGGCGCTTCTTAGCGTCGGCATTTTGACCAATATCAACCTTGGCGGGGAGTGAGTTGTGCTTGCCCGAATGTAAGACGTCAGTGATCTGCTGGTGGTGCAGACCGCCAGTGTGGGGTGATGCTGTAGGCGAGTCGATCCAGGAGTGGGCACTTCCTGGTGTGCCCTCCCACTGGCCAGACATGCTCTTGTGGTGTCGGTGCATGTTGGTCATGATGGGTTGGGTGTTGGTGAAGTTGCCCGAGTCGGGTGTACCAAGGTGGAGGCCAGCCATAGCAGGCGTCTTGGGCGACATGGGAGCCCGGTTGTCGGAGGTGGTCCTGCTCATTGTGATACGCTGGCGCATGGAGCCAGTTGGCATACTGCCGGAAAAGCTCCTCATCTGCGATCCTGATTGGTACTGGTTGAAGTCAAAATTGCCGGGGTGTACAAAAGGACTGTGAATGGGTAGGTCGTCTGGGGTGTTGGAGTAGACCTGGTTCACGCTGGCATTGTTGGCGTGGCTGTGGTAGTAGTCCTGCTGTTGACTCATCTGGTCCTGAGAAAAGTTGTTGAAGCCAGGCTGCTGCTCAAAGGTGCCAAGCGACTCGGCAAGCTCGTCGTCGGCAATACCAGCACCACCCTGCATGTAGCTGTTAGTGCCAAAGTGGTTGCCCATCATGTTTCCGTTCATGTTGAGCTCGGAAGGGTTGATGCCACTGGCGTTCTCGTGTCCGGAGAACTGGGCGTTTGTGTATTGTTGATTCATATCCAGGCCATTGTGGCCCATGAACCGGCTGTTGAAAGACATGTCGTCGACTTCTTCTTTGATATATGGTTGAGGTGATCCTGTACCATTCATGTTGAAGATATCAGCGTCTAGCACGTCGTCAGAGGGGGACTCGAAGCCAAGGTCCAGCCTCGCAATCGGCTTCTGGGGAGAGTAGGAAGAGGGAGGAGTGAAGAGAGCGTCCGCTTCAGGGACAGTTAGTATGGTTCCGTAGTACATGATGGAAATGACGGAACGGAAAGAATGTACTGAGCGAGGAGAATCCGCCGACGACGAGTAGAAGGAATGATATAGAAAAGCGAGAGATGCAGATCAAGTGGAACAGAATGGTGCTCTCATGACAATGTAGGATAAAACAGACGTTACCAAAAGGCGTACTTACTAGGCTTTGGCATTACTGTGGGTTGCAGTATCCCAGAAATGTGGATGTGTGTGGCCGAGGGCGGTTGCTTGTGCCGAACGTTGAGATCTGAAACGATCTATCGTCGGCTCAAGCCAGTGACCAAGGGAAGCACAAGACGGCCTGTGTCCCTATATGGGAGTTGACAGACGCTTGCTATGTGGTGAGCACAAAGAGGGCGCGAGCAAGCTAAGGGAGTCTTTGGAGCGACGCCTGATACTCGCTAGCAAGCCTCTGGTCTTGTTGGGAGGGAGAAGCTAGTGTTTGTCTGTGGGAAGGGCATTAGCACCATGTTTGGCATGGACGAGTCATTTGTCACGGAAGGTACTCACTTCACTTGTCCGGGCAACGGATACCACGGGTTGGATGTTCCGGAGATGGTTATGGGCGGGCGTGGGGGAAAGCAAGGATACGGCCTATCTTCGGAGCCAGATTGCGGGCTGCGACGGGTGATTGTGGCTGTGGGCCCAATTTGGATACTGAGAAAGACATGTCAGCGCACAGTCCAGCAGGGCAAGTGTTGGGTGGTTGAAGGGTTGGGTGCATGCGTGTGGCGCACAGATGGGTAACCCGCGAGGCAGGCAACGGAGGACGACAGCCGTGCTGCACGCCGGCACTATGGGGACCGTGGTACGGGAGGACCAAAGCAGCGAAACAGTGTCACTGCTCCGGGGGTGGTGTTGGGGCGTTTTTTTTGTTTACAGCCCAGGCAGCCGAGACTGGCCCAGGCTGAAGCGCAGCACGGGGATGGGGAAGGTGGTGATGGTGGTGGTGAAGTGGTGGTAGTGGTAGTGGTGTTTGTTCAAGGAAAGAGCACCGAGCAGCGTTGACTCACCTTGGATACCAGCAATGCTCAATGGGGAGATGGCAGCTGGAAGACTCGGCTTCTCTGTTGTGAAGAGAGGTCGAGGGGACAAGTTGGAATAAAAGCCGGCTATCAGCTGGGTGTGCAGGAGGGAGCAAACTTGGCGGTTGGAGAGTGAGGTTGAAGGTAGTGGTGGTGGTGATGATGGTGGTATGTAGTAGCGGCGGTGATGATTGCCGAGGGGAGCCTGTTTGTTGTCGACGGGGGTGAGAGCGGGGTGAGGCTTGGATGGGCGTCGAGGGGGAGAGTGTGTGTGTGGTGGGAGTGGAGGAGAGGTTGTGTGCGTGGTGGGATGCGCAGTGAGGGCTTTGGTGCAACGCGGTGGAGGGGTGTGGGTAAAATAGCAGGAGTGGGCTCTGGAGTAGGCGGTCCGGGGGGGTTAGTGGTGGGGAGGGCGGTGGCAGGATGTTCCCAGCAGCAAGCGGTGGATGAAGCGTGCTAGGCGCGGTGCAGGTTGTGGGCGACGGTCGGGCCCAGCGTGCAACAGCGATGCAATGGCTGCCGCGGCTCTGAGAAGAGGAGAGACGGACGGGGCAGGCAGCTCAAGCGAGCGAGGGAGCGAGGGAGCGAGGGCGCGGTGTGGGAGGAGGCCCTAGGCCGGAAGGCGGTCAGAGAGGGTCGACTTGTTAGCCGGGGCGCGCCAAGCAGCTATGGCCGGCCGGCGAATCAGTCCGTGGCAGCGAACTACTAGCCGATGCCGTGTGGCAGCGGTCGAGGACAAGCGGGCGTCCAGTGGGCGTGGTTGCAGCAGCAAGCAGAGGCAGAGCAATGGCGACAGCCGCTGCAGTGGTTTGCGCAACCCGGCACCGAGCGGGTGACGTAGGGCGTAGGCGGCGTTGTGAGATGGAAGGCCGGGCCGGAAGGGTACGATACTGCGCGCGCTGTATTGTATGCTGTGTGTTGTCTTGTGTTGCGAGAGGGGCGGATCGGATGGCTGTCGGTGTCTAGTGTAGCGTGTGTTGTGTGTACGTATATATATACATATATACTATATATATATATACATGTACGTATGTACGTATGTAATGTAATGTAATGTAAGACGCGGATGATTACTACTACTACAACTACTATGTAGCATGCGTCGATTTGCAGCGAGGGCGAGACAGACAACAATTATTGGGCCAGCAACGGACGCGGCACGGCGGCATAATATACTCTGGCTCAGCAACGAGCAACGCGCCTCTCTGCTCGCCGTGCCTCTGCCTGTCGCGCGTCGCATCAGGACGAGGCAGTCTGCAAGCCGCAAGCCCACCGTCCAACCCTGGCGATGCGGACACCATCCGGTTTGCAAGTGGCCTCGTCTGGTCACTTGCAAGCCGTCGTGTCTCAGCTACCCGGTCCTGCCAGCCCTGGTAGACGATGCGCGATGTGACTCACTAGCAGGCCCGCAAAGGACGTCATCTACCTGTTGCCCGACTTTCCAAGGCAGCCCTGCGCCCGAGGGTGTGTGTATGGGTGTGGGTGTGGGTGTGTGTGCAAACGGCCATGTGTGTGTGTGTGGGCGGGCGGGCGTGTGTGCGTGGTGTGGGTATGGGTGTGGGTGGGCATGTGTAAGGACCACGCTAACCCAACTCGGCCGCGTGGTTCACCCAGCATTGCGAGTCGCAGCGGGAGGCGATCGCGCGCTAGTCGCTGCAATGGCCCAGCAAGTCCAAGAGTGTGCAAAGCATGGCAGGCTGGCCCTCGCACAAACTCGAACCAGCTCGCAACAACAGGCGGCGCTACTCCCTTCCTGGCCGGCGAGCAGACTACATTCCCATCTCTCATCACCGATCTGCTCTGCTCTACTAGCTGTAACCACCGCCTGCCCTTTCCCAGCCAATCACCCCGGCCACAGCCACACCTCCGCCCTCCCCCTCGCCGCCTCGTCACAAGCCTCGTCCACCCT